GTCGGAGCGCTCCTCCTCCTCTGTCCGGTGCCGGTGTGGGGTGAAAATCCTCCACCTCAGACGTTCAGAGATTTAACTACTGTGGTCACTCTCCATGTAGCGTCAATTATGCTAATGCTATCTGCCTGTCATGTTCTCTCGTCCTGGCCACACCTCCGCTCTCTAACCCCCCTTCCTCTACCCACACCCCCTCCCCTACCCACTTTGATGCATTTTTCAAATTTCGCCTTGGGGCGGAGTTATCTTTTCMCAGGGGGTTAAGATACACTTTAAGGTCAAGTCATATGACTTATCTGATAATTTGGGTTTTTTATTTTCTGTACTAATTAAACACAATGTAAAAGTAGAAGTAAGTTAGGTTTAAAACTGATGTGCAGAAATATTTGGTCAATTTTGAGACAAACTCAAACCTTTTGCATGACATAAAGATCTTGAGGGCACTCTTATATTTAATTTATGTAACRTCATCCCAACTACATTTAACTTATCCTGTTAAGCATGTTACATCTGACATCAAGAKCTTATAAATAAAAAGCACTTTTACACAGCGTGTTAGTCACAGGTGAGCTAGTGATGCCAAGGAAAAGTTTTTTGTTACACAGACAACACAACTTTTAATTACCTCATGAATATATGTTGTATAATATATATGTTATAAAGTGAGATGGACAGGTAAAAAAACCCAGAAAATATGCCTAATAAATCTGAGGCTGAGAGCGTTTTATTTACTTTAGACAGAGCAAATCATAAGCAGCACCAAAGACAAACAAAAGTTATCACGAGTCAGAACAAAGTAAAACAAACGTCTGTGCTTGAATCCTGATTGCATGGTTTTATGATTGAGCAGCGTGGTTCGTCAAAGCTGGGCTCTGTGGGCGCTAATAAAGGAGCAGATTGCTCTTGTCCTCCGTGATTTATCCAACTCTTCTGTCTTCCATCTGTACAAAATGAAAAGTTAATTAAAACCCTGTGTTGTCACCTCATCTTGTCCCAGACGGGACGAACAAATCATCTCCCTTCATTTACGGCCTTTATTATTTCTTCATGTACAACACCAGCATTGATGTCGAAAAGGGCAGCGGGGGGCGGGACTCTAAATTTCTCAGGCGGACCTAAAATGGCATTTTAAGATAAAAACAAGCATCATTTTATCACGTGCCAGCTCTGCGAAGTGATTAAACTTTTGTTGCCTTTTAATAGATAAACATTTTGAGTCCACCTTTATCTGCATTTCTTTTTAATCGTCACTAAAAACAAGCATCTGCATCTAAAACACATGAAGTTTAACCAAYGTGTTGTGGATATTCAGACGCTCTTAGATGTTCAGCAGTGGATCACTGAAACCATTCTTCATGCTTTTATTGCTGATTCACCAAATATAAGCAGGGCTGTTTGTC